GCTGAGACTTTCTGCTTGCTGATTTAATGGAATACTGCAGCCACTTCAGAGACACTTTACACTTGATTTCTGTGTTTGTTTTTCAGTCACATATCTCAAAACAACAGAAGATACTGGATTATTTGATGGTAAGCATTGTTCATTTGTAATCATATATATATATATATATATTAGTGCTGTCAAACGATTTGTAAGAAAATATCCATATTCAAAAGGTAATAATCACTTTAATGTAGCTTGCACTCACTGTTGTACACTGGAAGCAGTTCCCGGGCGGATAACGTATGGAGGTCGGCTTTGTGCATTCGCCGCTCAGAAGTGTAAGAAAAAGTGATGAGGACGTCGAAGATCTTTGACGAAGAATAACTTTTATTACAGAGTAGCAGTGACAAAGTACAAACAGCACTTCGGATTCAGCGGAGTCTAAATGAACCCCGAACATCCTAAGCTCAAACATTTTATACTGTATTACGTTCATCTTCCCGCTCAACATGTAAATGAAGTTTCGTTTTAAATGTAAATTGCGGATAACAATGAAAGTGATAGCCTTCCGTTCCCACATCTTTGGTAGATTTTCAGGTGGGAACAACCAAATGTTAAGGTGATAAGATTAAACAGAATCTGGTAGTCTCTCAGGTGGGAACAACCAAATGTTAAGGTGATAAGATTAAACAGAATCCCTAGCAGTTATTTTATGCACCCTTTTGGTCAGCAGATGGTTCTTGATGGCCTGCTACTACTCCCACGCTATAAGTGACAAATTATCGCTCCGGAGGTACTATTTACATATTATTAAGATCGGAAAGAACTATCTCTATGATAATTAAACTCTTTGTAGGGCAAGGAGCATAGATTAACACAATTTGGAGTGGAAGCTGGGTCGAGGCAGACTATAATTTCTTACAGAATTGACGCACGCGTAAGCGCAGGGGAGAGATCAAACTGAGCGCAAGCTAGATTAAAGTGATTATTACATTTTGAATATGGATATTTTTCTTACAAAAACGCATTGATTCTCTACAAAAGGCCTTTGTTCACCCCCCGGAGCCGTGTAAGACACTTTTTTTTCTATGGATGGGCACATTTTAATTAACTGCTTTTGGACGGATGCATGCAACACCTGCTGAGTGCCATGAAACAGTTTGAAAGATCAGAGACAATTTTTAATATAACTCCAACTGGATTCGTCTGAAAGAAGAAAGTCATATACACCTAGGATGACTTGAGGGTGAGTAATTTATGGACTAATTTTCATTTTTAGGTGAACTAACCCTTTAATAATTAAAAAAAATCAAGAATAATAATTGAGTTATAATACTAATTTATGTGCAAATACTACACTATAAATATACGGTAAATACTTACTTTTTTAAATGCATATATTTATGTTGCATGTATAATTCAACAAATGGCATCCAGTTATAATCTTAGAAATAAAATCATTAATTAGCATTTTACATTTTTCAACACAATGGACATGGAAGTTGATCACATTGCATTGTATCATGCAGTATTCAGCACAGTGCATTCTGCTTGTATACTGTATTCCCATGCAACATAGAAAGTGCATTGGGTCATCTATAACAGTATGAACATTCTCACTGTGTTGATCATGTCCTGCAGTACAGGTGAGCGCAGCAGACCAGAGGCTGCGAGTGTTTGACTCCACCCAGCGGAGGTGGAAACACATCTGCTCATCCAGCGCCAACCAGCTCATCGCCAACATCAGCTGTGAAGAGATGGGCTTCGTCAGGTAACAAACACACGACACGCACCAGGCTCACAGCTAACTGTGAGAAATTTAGTCAAGCCGGTTTAAAATATGACTGGAATTCATCATTATTTCGGTCATGTCTTGATTTGCTTTTTACTCTCTAATCAGAGCAGTGAATTTCTCAGTGACGTGTGCTCCTGATAATGGTGGTGACCGAGATTTTTTCTGCGTAAAAGAGAGTGAGTTAACTTATGGGAAGAAGATAAAAACAGCCCTTTATCCTTGGTAAGTTACATACAATTAAAACTGGACTAAATTTGAATGGTCATCAAGGCCATCAGCATATTAGATGATTCATATTCATTTGATCATATGATTTCTGAAGGATCATGTGACGCTGAAGACTGGAGTAATGATGCTGAAAATTCAGCTTTGCATCACAAAAATAAATTGCATTTTATAATATATTAAAATAGAAAACAGTTATTTTAATATTTCACAATATTAATGTTGTTACTGTATTTTTGATCAAATAAATGCTGTCTTGATGAGCACGAGAGACTCAAAAGTCCTTGAAAAGAGCCAATGTTGCCTAGACATCATATTGCAATTTCATTTGGTTTCGCTAGTGGTGCAGAAATCACACAATTCATCTTTAACAGTGAATCAGATTGCTTTTTAATCTGGCAAACAAAAAAGAAACACTAACTAAAAGCGAAAAACGTGCAATTTTGTTAACCTCTCTAAAACATTCTAATGATTTATTTCTGTTTCAGTAAATGTGACAAAGGTCAGATACTTGAGGTGATTTGTCAGGGTAAGTGCAACAACTCAAGCATATTTGTAGTATATTGAATATGTGCACTGCAAGTGCATGATTTGTTCGCTCTCCATCACCGTAGACTGTGGTCGTCGTATGCTGCCTGAGGAGCGGATCGTGGGGGGAGTGGATGCCCGCCAGGGTTCGTGGCCATGGCAGGTCAGCCTACAGTATGATGGAGTTCATCAGTGTGGTGGATCAATCATTTCAGATCGCTGGATCGTCAGTGCCACACACTGCTTTCCTGAGTGAGTGGCACACTTTTTCTACTATCTTTAAAACATTCTAACATGATATTAACTTAATTATGTAGTGGGGGTGGGGGGAGAGGCTACTCTGATATTGGGTGACAGAATAACATTATATAATTCATAGACTAGATGGTGGAGTACAGAAGCCTACTTCATGTGGGACACAACTAACATGTTAAATCATGTTTACAATGTGCTAAAACATACTAGCAGTGGCCTAAAATAAGCTAGAAAATATGGTAAAAATGTTAGCAGTGTGTTAAACCATGTGAGAAACATGCTAGCGATGTGGTAAAACTTGCTATCAACATCGTGCTAGAAATGTGTTAAAACATGCAATGCATATCAGTATGTTAGCCACATGGTAATACATGCTAAAAACCTGCTAGCAACATCTTAACTTATGTTAGCAAATATGCTAAAACATGTTAACATCTAGAACCAAGCTAAAACTTGCTAGTTTCGCACGAAATGTGGTAGCAATGTCTTTCTATCTTACAGATTGCATGGCTTTAAAACCTTGAAACTTAAAGGTTTTTAAATTACTTTAATCTTAAAAATACATTTTTAAAACTATTTCAAACTTTCTGGCTAGGCTTTCTCAAGCCAACATCAAAATTTGTCTACAGACTTTACTATCTAGTATGCACCTCTAAGTCTGACAAAATTGAATTCTTCAATCTTTATTAAACCTTTTTGCAATTTTAATTGTTAGATGTGAAGTGGCATTTTACAGTATTTAAAAACATCACTTACAACACCTTTAAGAAGATTTATTTTCTTGTGGAGGGTTTTGCTGTTTTCTAGTGACATTTACATGCAACACACAATTTACAAAACTATATGGCACCTTTGAAAAGTTTGGGGTCAATAAGATTTTTTTTAATGTTTTTCAAGACTGCATTTATTTGATCAAAAATACAGTAATATTGTGAAATATTATTACAGTTTAAATAATGGTTTTCTATTTTAATATATTTTAAAATGAACATTTTCCTGTGATGCATTACTCCTGTCTTCAGTGTCACATGATCCTTCAGAAATCATTCTAATACGCTGATTTGCTGACTGTATTGTCAGGAGGTATCGTCATGTATCACGCTGGCGGGTTCTGATGGGATCGATCTACAACACTCCCATCCGTAAGAACATTGTGATCGCTGAGGTGAAGACGGTTGTCTACCACAGCAGCTACCTGCCCTTCGTCGACGCCAACATTGATGACAACAGTCGTGACATAGCAGTCCTTGCTCTGACAAAACCTCTGCAGTTCACTGGTGAGTTCTTACAAACACCCAGAGGAAATAGGTAGCCCCGCCCACAATGAAATTTAATTGGCCAAAATCCTGCTCTATTTAGATGCATAGTAAACATCACATGTGTTCTGACTGGCTGTGATTATGCATATTTGCTTTCAGTTTGGACGGAAAAAAATTACTGGAAACGTTTTTATCTCTGAATAAAAGTATCTTTGAAATGTTACTGTAAATGTCATGTTGGGTTTTTTTGTGTGCTGTGTTTCAAGGCATTTAAAGAGGTCATATGATGTTGCTAAAAAGAACATTATTTTGTGTATTTGGTGTAATGAAATGTGTTTATGCGGTTTAAGGTTAAAAAACACATTATTTTCCACATACTGTACATTATTGTTTCTCCTCTATGCCCTGCCTTTCTGAAACGCGTCAATTTTTACAAAGCTCATCGGTCTGAAAAGCGAGGTGTGCTCTGATTGGCCAGCTATCCAGTGCATTGTGATTGGCCGAATACCTCAAGCGTGTGATGGAAATACTACGCCCCTACCATACTGTGATGCAGTGGCAACTTCTTTAAATATGAAAACGTACTTCTGTGAGTCAGAACAGCCTGACTATACTAACATTATAGTCTACTCTCCCAGGATCAGGAAACAGTCCTCCATAAAATGTGCTGCACACATCTGAATATTTGGGTTGAACTGTTCTGGAACAGTGTTGTAAATACAACTTAACCACTGATTTCTAGTCGTGTCCTCTTTTGCAAGACCAAACAAAGTATTTTCGCTTTCGCCACGAAACACACAGCATCTTCACAACATGGCGGCGGCGGTGGCAGCAACAATAAAGTTACACCTTCTTTCTTTGCATGAACATTTGGGCGGCGTTATGCAAATCTTCCCACATCATGACGTAGACATGTGGGGGCGTGTTTAAATGAGGCGTTTTAGGAGGGCGTGGACCAGTCTTAACTTTTATAAAGAATATCTCTTTGGGTTTGCCACTTTAGGGATCTTATCTATTCACGAACAGCTTGTAACACTGCAAAAAGAAAGGAAAACTTGAAATCGCATCATATGACCCCTTTAAATACAAAAAGTATGTTCATAAAAGAATGCATTCATAAAGGAAATGGCTCTGTGTAACAAGGACAAGTCTTTACTGGCAGTAGTTTAATCAGAGTCTGTTTAGAGGTGTTTTTCATTAAGTACTGGTATGTTACAGGCCTGTCTGACTGAACACAGCATTATAGTAAAACCTCGCTCCGGTCTCAAGTTGCTCGTCCTGAGAACAAAGCTCCTCTATTTCCAAGGGGCCTTGAGTTGAAACAAAAGACAATACTGGCAAAATATTCCAGAAGGACAAATCTTTTCCTCATATCCAGAGTTTTCTGTAACTATTAACCAGAATGTTGCGGAAATATGATGGATTTGATTCTGAAATGCATTTGTGTCTCATTGTAAATCAGAGGAAATTGAGTGCGAGAAGCTAAAAATCGCTCTTTGTTCCCTCTAGTGTGCTTTCACAAGTATTGCGTTTGACTATGTGTGTTTTCCTCTCAGTTGACATCTTTTGTTTTGGTGTTTTAGATTATATCCAGCCAGTGTGTCTTCCTACCTACGGCCAGCGTTTGGCGGATGGCCAGATGGGTACAGTAACCGGCTGGGGTAATGTGGAGTATTACGGTTAGTAATGTCTTATTCTGTGTATTTAATTAAAGGTCACTGAAGTGCTGCATTCCAGTGTTTATCATCTCTTTACCTGGAACTGAAGTCTGTCTGGCTTTGACCTTTGTGTCAGTTACCTGAGTGAGTGTTGTGGCACCGAATGTACCGCATGCGTGACCAGCTATCGATTATCAGACAATAATTTCAACTTTCCTTACATGTACACTAACTTGTGATAGAAACCTAACAGTAGGGCTGCACGATTATGACAAAAATCATAATTGTCAATTATTCCCTTGAAATTGTAATTGCGATTATTAATTACTATTATCACAATTCACATTGAATTATGTTTATACCATTGTTTGATGCAACTGCATGCCATATTTTTATATGAAAATAAACAAGCTGAAAACACTCTAACTGAAAAACGTTTAGTGCTTTTCTATAGCATTAAGCCTCAAATGTCAACTATACATCGGATTGGTTTCTTCTTTAAATTATAAAAAAGTAAAAATATGAATGGTATTATAATGTTATACTAAAACTAAAATTAAAATAATGGGAAAAACCCTTAAGATAACATGTAGAAAGAAAAAAAAACACATCTTAAGCACGCCGAATAACATAAGTGGACTTTGTGTCAGGGGTGGTAAAGGAAGAGGAATCAGTTGCAGGGATAACAAGGTGTTTATTGAGATTCGAAAACAAACAGGAACGAAGCCACTGTCTGAGAGGGTAATCTGGAGAGATCCCAACCAGGTCCGGGGAAGAGAAAGTCAGCTCAACAGCACGTATCTAGGAAAAGGGGGTTTCCAGAGCAAATGGCCGCGAGTAACAGTCCACGAGCAACGAGACAGTCCAGCTCTCCAAATAATTCCAGGGGCCAGAGAATGGCGATGGTGGGAGGGAGAGGGAGAGGAACTCCAGGAGGGAGCAGGGAACGCTGGGCAGCGAGGGGAAGGAGGCAGGAGGCAGACAGAAGGGAGTCCAGCAGCCAGGGCAGACAGGGGCTGGAGAGGGCAGAGGGGAAGGGAAAAACGAACACAAAACTAAACGGCTGGAGCTAAAACTAGGAACTAGAAGGAACTGGGCTAAATCAAAAGAAAAACCCTAATATCAAAAGTAAAATAAAAGCTAAGGAAACTAGACAAGACTAGGCTAGACGAAACAGGATAACAGTCAACAGCGACAAGAGCCAGGTTAACTCAGCAGAGCAGAGATTTCGATCTGGCACAGGACAGAAAACAAGAGGGGAATTTAAGGGCGACTAATGATCAGAAACAGGTGTTACCCCTAACGAGATAAGGTAATGAGAGGGGCGGGGTAACAATAGACAATAGAGCACATGGCAAACATAATTACCAACTGACAGCCATGTGCTCCAGACAGACCAGGACACAACATAAACAAACCCAGATCAGACCGGTGCCTTGACACTTTGAGCGATTAATTGCCACTTTGAACGATTATGTAATTGTGGCATCCATAATTGTAATCGCGATTAGAAATTCGATTAATTGTGCAGCCCTTAGGGCTTATCACATTATTCCAGTGTTGTTATCACTTGTGAAAAAGAAGTGTGCTTAATCGTATTGAATGTGCACTTGTAGTGTACTTATCTTAGTGTACAAATCTTTAAGTATATTTTAAAAAAACTGTTGCAGATAATATAATATTAAAAGAAACGAAACAGTACTTAAATTTATTTTTATTTAGAGATCTGTAAAATAATCCATGTGACATAAACCGTAATTATACGAAGTTACGAGAATACTTTTTGTGCACAAAAGAAAAAAAATAACGACTTTATACAACAAATCGTCTTGAATAAAGTCGTAATTTTTTTTTCTCTTGCGCACAAAAAGTATTCTCGTAGCTTCGTATAATTGCGGATGAACCACAGATCTCCTTGCTACGTTTCTGGACTTGGGAACATTTCAGTTGCGTTGCTGTCTATGCAGGGTCAGACAGCTCTCAGATTCCATCAAAAATATCTTAATTTGTGTTCCAAAGATGAACGAAGGTCTTACAGGTTTGAAACGACATGAGGGTGAGTAATTAATGACAAAATTTTAATTTTTGGGTGAACTAACCCTTTAAAGAGAGCACACTTTCATGACTATGTTTCTTAGCACACTTTAAAAAAGTGCACGTTATAATGATGTCAAATTAGTTTTAGCACTCTTAAGTTTAATTAATTGCATTTAATATACAATTAATCTATGAGTTAATTGTAAATAACATGCAATTAAGAGTTTGAAAACATTACATTCAATTCGCACGTATTTTCTTTTAAAGTATATTATTTCCATAATAAGTACTCTTTTTTTTAAAGTATGTTAAAGGACACGTATTTTTCACAAGATTAACAAAAACATTGCTAATTAAATTAATACAGTAATTAATAAAGTAAAATATACTGTAAATATTAGATGAAAACCTAAAACTTAAAAAAAAATGAAATATAAATTAAATCTAAACAGAATTATTAAAAAATAACAAAAATGACAAAAGCACATAACAAAATGACTAAAACCTAAAATGAAATGAAATTAAAACTAATATTGAAATGAAAATTGAAAATATAAAAATAAAAGCCCATTTAAAATATGAATAAATACTATAATAGTATATAATAGTAGCACTGCATCGTTATCATTCTAGCATGTTTCAGTTACGATGGGTATACTTTTAGGAAATTGTACAAAATATAGTTATATTTGTAGAAACGTTGCATGTTTTAAATGTTTATTCATGACTCTGTCCACTTACCTGCTAAGCCTTCATTTACTGTAAACACATTTCCTGTTTGTTCATTAACACGGGTCATGTATTGTTGTCTTGTGTAGTAATTGACAGAATGTGATACATTGGCTGCCCTCATGTCATGTCAGAATGATCATATTCAAGAGAAGAATGCATATAAACATTGCCAATTTGCAATTTAATTACAAATGGAAAACTTGTTGGTGCGAATCATGCATGAACTATTTGGTCTTGGTCAGTTATATATGCATTCCCAGCTAAAAAAACCCACATATTTTAACTTAATTCCATTAAGTTATGAAAATGTTTTTTTTTTATGTTCTCTTAATGTACAAAACGTCCAGTTTTTTATTTTTTATTTTTTTTTTCTTGGCTATGCATTAGCAAAAACATTAAAGGATTATTATTTTGCAAACATTATGGGAATGTTGACTGAACAATCTGACACAAGTAGTAACATTTAAAAAACGTTAGACGAACATTCAAATAAAATGTTTCAGGAAAAAAGTTCCATGAATATTGACAATAACATATTGAGAATGTTATTAAAGACCTATTTTGAACAAATGTTCTATTAACGTTACTGGAAGAACATTTGTTCATAATTTTGAGAAAATTTTGCAAAAAGCAAAGTTCTGAGAACATTTCCTGGATGTATGTCACTCAAAAGAAACAAAATTCACAATTATAAATTTTGTATGTATTATATCCCAACAGTGAGAAAAACTAAAGCAAAAGTTGCTTGCCATAAAAAGGGGCAATGCAACACACTGTGATTCATTTCTTTTTATAATAGTAATGTAATTTTGTAACAAATTGCAATGCTTTTAAAGGCATAGTGCACCCAAGAACTAAAATTCTGACTTAATTTACTCATCCTCATGTAATTCCAAACCTGTATGACTTTATTTTTCCAATATTCTTCAAAGTAACTTCTTTTATGTTCCATCAAAGAAAGAAAGTCGTACAGATTTGGAATGAAGTGAGGGTGAGTAAATGATGACACAATTTTCATTTTGGGTTGTACTGTCCATTTAAATATGATAATTCCAACATGACATGAAGTGAACAGTAGACATTAGTTTGAAAAATGATGAATATTCCTTTAAAGATTCTAGAGACTTTCAGAAGTTTCAGTTTCACACAAACGCCCCCTCCTTCACGTCACTTGATTTCTTGCAGGCACGCAAGCCAACGTCCTCCAGGAAGCCCATGTGCCCATCATCAGTGATGCGGTGTGCAATGGCCCAGATTATTATGACAACCAGGTCACAACCACCATGTTCTGTGCCGGTTATGAGAAAGGAGGAACCGACTCCTGCCAGGTATCTGCCACTCAGCTCTGACATCATCAGTCCAGTGGACAGAGCAGCACGTCCACTAGAGGGCGACATTCACAACTAATGTGCATGATGTGGCTGTGTGGAATTATGAAGTGATATGAGATACTGTCTCTCATATGATGTCAGGGGGACAGCGGTGGTCCTTTCGTAGCAGCGGATGTCCTGTCTAAGACCAGCCGCTATCGTTTGCTGGGGGTGGTGAGCTGGGGCACAGGCTGTGCCATGGCCAAAAAGCCTGGCGTCTACACGCGTGTGTCACGCTTTCTGCCCTGGATATCCACAGCCATGAGGGTGAGTGATGCAGGATCACACTTTCAACAGCATATCTATATAACATAACAGCAAACTTCCTCTCATGTTTGCCTCCATAGATGTATGAAAACTCCCCAGGAGTGCACAAAATGGCACGGGCGGTCACACCATAGCCATTCAGAGTGGAACATTTTTTAATACGAGACTGAAATGTTGCCTGTTGAGGTCAGATGTGTTGCTCGTATCAGTCTGAGATCAGACGTCTGGTGTTGATCAGATGTTCTGTGATGATCAACCTGTCCCAAGGACAATATCTGACTCACGGAGGCCAAGAACCATTTCTGATGCTGTACTTTGGGTAAATATGAGAGCACATATTTACTTTTTTAACATATTTACATAATACAGTATATGTACATACTGTATTATTTCCCGACACAAAAACGTAAATGAAAAATTCATATTTTTAGAGTATAGGGAATTTTTATCCTACTTTATTACAGGTTTGTACAGAATGTATGGTGGCAAAACAAATTAAATCCATTGTCATGTTCAGCTCAGATTGCAAAAATGTTATTCATTTACCTGTATAAAAAAAAAATATTAAAACATATTTTTCTGTTAATTTAAATAATATAATGCTATACGAAAAGACATAACATAGACTCCAGACAGCAACATACACAAAAAAATACAATTTATTTTTAGCACAATCCTAAATCTGACAAGAACTCTCAACTTTATATCAATCTACAGTATTTATCTCAATTTTGTTTACTAGTGGCACAGGTACAGTACAGTATGATGCACAAGTCAAATCTGTAGTACATGAACTTATAAGAAGGATTTCGCCAAATAATACAGGCCTTTGTGAAATGTGCCATGATTAAATATGTACTTAAATAGGTTTTATAAATTGAAATGGCCAGAACGGTGACATTTGAAAATGTTTCATGAAAACCTCACTTTCATGTATTTTACATGTAATGTATTTTATTTTCTCTTCTTTTTTCTTAAAAGATGGGTTAAGCATTGATGTGACGAGCACTAAATGTAAAGATACAAACCAAAGACTTGTTTAGAAAGCAGTATGGATAAACTCATCACTGTGGCAGTCAGTATTGTTGCTTATGTTGTTGTACATATGAATAGCTTCCTTACGATGCGATGCACTGTTTAATTCAATTTTATTTCTAATTGTATGTTAAGCTGCTATATTGTTATCCAGAATTTGTACCATAACTTTCTGAGTAACATTATGTAGTAATTTGACAACAATAAAACAATAAAACTCAAACAGCATTTAGCTTTATATTCTATAAATATGCTTATTTTCTGTTTTCATGTTCATTAAACTGTTATGCATATATGTACAATATAGAAAATCTGACCTTTGATATATAGTAATCTCTCTTTTTTTCAGTTCTTTTCAACCAAATACAAATGTTGCACCCATAATATGACTTTTCAATGCTGAAATAAAGACTTAATTTTTTATATAAAAAAGTAATAATTTGTGGTTATTTTTGTTTGTGCTTTAGAAACTTGACATAAAATCATCTAAGTATGTAATCATTTAAATATATACTTATAAATATATTAAATAAGTTACAAAATATTTTCTTTGCTGTGTGATAATGTATACATCTTATGTGTGTGTGTGTTAAATGTGTCTTTTTAGCTGTGTATTAATTGCAACATGTATATACACCAAATGTGTGGCGCTTTACTTAATTGCTTTATTATTATTATTATTATTATTACTACTACTACTACTTGTTACGGAAGCATACTCGGAACACAGAGATGATGGTGAACAGGAGTTTATTGACAATAACGTGAGTTCAGCAGGAAATCAGGTGGGTAGACTGGGTAATAATATTGGAGCAGAGTGGACGAGGAATATAAAGATAGTCTATCTTATAAGACCAGGAGATCGTTGATGAGCGGATGATCAGGAGCACGGAGAAGATGGAGGACAGGGACGAGGAGAACACGCTGGAGAATAACAGGAGGTAAGCACAGGATAGACACTGAAGAACTAGCTTGGAGAATTGCGTTGTAGTAACTGGGAATTAGTCCTTTACGTGTTAACGAGACCGCTGTGTGCTTTTGAAGCCAGCTTGATGAGTGTGCAGATGGATGGCAGGTGCGTGTGATTAGTACTCTGGTGAGGGAGTGAGCTGGGATTGGCTGGTGTGGAGACTAGGCTGATTAGTGACAGTAACCCCCCCCCCCCCCCCCCA